TTTCATCTCTTTACAAAAGCTGTACTTTCATATTTTAACAAACTACAAAATATTTCACTTTGTTCACTCATACTTGACAAATGCAGATATTTTACAAATTTGACTCAGTCTCGAACACGCAACAATAGCAATGCTACTGAATAATAGCTAACCACTGCTCTACGACAGGCAGCCCTTCAAAAATATCTTCTTTTATGTGTCGTGTCCCTTCAGGATGTTGACGATCATGGCTTCTCACAATTTCTGTCCTTTGTAGCTCTTAATAAATTTTGTTATCTCCCATAAATCTTGTTCCGCCATCCATTTCCTCAAGCTCGCTAGAGAGGTTATAGATTGTCCCCCTCTCTCTCTCTCTCTCTCTCTCTCTCTCTCTCTCTCTCTCTTGCCCTCAGTCTGTCCTGTGAGTATCAATTTTTCTAACCCCTCTTACCTCATAATGTGCCCCACAATAAAAGTATGCTGGTTACGTGTTAGGGAAATACAAATTACATTGTCGCCTCCTTCTCGGCCGGACGTCCGGATTTCCAATCCCCGCGGCTGATCAATGAGTTGATCGCTTCGATCCAAATCCTGCCTTATCCCACGTTGTGTCTAGTTTTGATCTGGCAAAAATCGAATCGTCATCGGGGATTTTCGTATTGGTTCTGTCCAGGCAGAGTGAAAACGCAAGTGAGAAAAAAATAACTTGAATAAAAATAAATGTTTTTATATACGTCTATTTGTACAGTTAGTCTTGACGTTAGAATTTATCAATTCCTCGTGCACAAAATTATCGACCTAACCCGCTTCTTAAGTTGAACGTGACACTTCGACTGGTTTGGTTAAATCTGGCACAAGGCTTATGTCGGAGTTTCAATTCAGGCAAGCAGTCACGTGATATCAGGCAACGCGTTCGTCTCTCGTCTCAGCGTCTGTAACATCTTCGATTCCTTACATTTATTGACATTCACCTAAAACCGGAGTGGGGCATGGTTAGGGGACTCGTTGATTTCCCTATCTTCCAACAAGTGCCCTTTTGTTGTCTGGCTCTGGAAAATTCATTACATCTCCAAAATTGGGGAGATTCCCTTTTCCTATGGGTAGCGGTCACAGGTATCGATCCGGCCCGATAACTTCTTCCTTCTCTTATTGGCATATCACACCAATACTTCCCAATGTGCGTGGGCAGTTCCTCCACCTTCCTAAGTATTTCCCTTGCGCCTACCACCTTGGCTAAAACTCGGCCAATCTGGCTTAACTTTTGGTCATTAATTAAAAATTTATCATCTCAAATTTTGCTTATGCCAAATTTTCCCATCCTGGTCTTGTCCAAAATCAGATATAAAGAAGAGAAAACATAAAGAAGAAAAAATCAGCCTAAAAACAATAAAAAGCGCATAATTTTTAACTTAATATAAAAATAACGAAATGAGAAAATCGACAGACAATTGCTGATACCTCCTGACGAATGAACTGAAAAAGGTTCGTCTACGAAACTCTAGAGTCAATAAGCTAAGTGACAAATTTTGTATTTGTATAAGTCCTATAGATTATTATATGTGTAGTGAACGCATGGATGCTTGTGTAGACAATTATTATCTCTGTCAGAATTATATAGCTGTATATATTAAACATAGGGAGATCTGGATCGAGTTAGTAACTTTGATGTCTTGCACACTGAACCTTCCGGTGGACGGGCATCACTGCTTCTCAGCCATCTCCTAAATCTCTCACGTGATGGCTCCAAGTTGCCATGCTCCGGTAAACCGTTTCAGCTGGCAGGCTAAACTCATGTGAGTGGGTGGTGTTAAAACTGCACTGATGGACAAAGGTCACCGGCCAGGGTGGAAATGTTCCTCCGATGAACTACAACGGCCACGTATTCGCGACCAGGGCGAGCCGCCTTGTTGGAGGACATCGGTGGTGGTCTAACTTGGAGAGGAATGGGCTCCGCCAGGTTAAAACGCCCAAGACACGCTACATGATGAGCCCACCGAGAAACCATTCGGGGAGACCCAGTCTCTAGCACACGACCGCGACAGATGGAAGAGAATGGTGCACAGCTCAGAAATTCGGCACCCCCAAAGACGCTTCCCTTTCGGGTTAAGGGCGAAAGAATAAAGAAAGAATATTAAATTGAATTATATAGCATGAAAGTTTAACTAGCATAGAACAGTGAGAACAGCTATATAATTCTTTTTAATATAAATTTTAGCTTTGTTATTTTACAGCGAACATTGTTTAATTACTACGAGCGTTACAGGATATAGCAGTATTTTTTTTTTTTTTTTTTTGTCGAATCTGTTTCTCATGTTTCCATGTGAGAACAATATCAACAGTGAATACAATGTAAACTGTATATGTGTGTATAAGTGTATACAAATAACAGGAAATCTGGTACAGTTTATTTAATTGTTGGAATTTTTATTACAGTTATTTGAGGCAAAAAGTAAAGAATTGAAATTTAATAGTTTAAAACACAAAAAAAAACAAATGGTGGGTGTGGTGTTCAAACTAAAAC